CTACTGCTACGACGACGACGACGACATGTTGCAGAACGTCAACTAACTTGATTCGTTGTGGCTTAAGGGAATGGCAACTAATTGTCAATAATCGTCGCTGCTATTGCTGCAACAGTAGTCAGATTCCTTCCGACAGTGAAAGATGTGGGCTCGATGCTATGTGGAAGCTGAAGGAGCGGGAGCAGGAGCAGTTGCAATAGCAGTAGCAGCAGCAGCAGCGGCAGCAGTAGTGGACGAAGCCTAGCAGTTTTCTGATGTTTTGGTCACAATTTCACTGCAGCGTGTCCAGTGGAATTTGCCGCTCGATGGCACCCGTTGGTGAACTAGCCGTAACTAGCCTAGTAGCTCCTGCGATGCAGTCGTGCACAACGGATTTTCAGGCTGGAGCCTTTGCCGTTTCTGACGCCGCCTGATGTGCATAGCTCAGCAATGCTCACAACTTGAAAGTAAGCATGACTCGCCATGAACTGGATGATTGAAACGTATGCCTGCAGGATGATGCTGCTCCAGACGAAGTTGAGGAGTACAACCAGAAGCTCGAGGAGCGTGAAGTGTTCGTAGATTTCAATAAGTTTGTCTCCGTGCCTCCGCTCTGCATAGCGGGCACACTGCGACAGGTTTGCTGCATTACATTTTTGGCAAGCATCAGGACCGAAAGGCCAAGCTGGCACCAGAAGAGAAGGAGGTCAGAACACGGGTTTAGATTTTCAGATGCACGTTGTTTGGGCTGGCAGGCTGAAGTTCGCGAAATCTTCTGCCGCGGGTTCATGAAGAACAAGTGGCCTCCTTGCACTAAGTGAAGCTAAAGTGATCCGTCCAGAGCACAAGCCTAAGCCGCAAAGGTTTGGACCGGCCTGCTCGCGATTTGAGGCTACATGAGCACGGAGCTGTGACAGTATGTCACGCAGTGAATGAGAGTGTGATCTGCAGGTAGTCGCCAAAGAAGCAGCTGTCACGGCTCGTATCTCGCAAGCCGGTGGCCTGACATTGGCGGACAGACTGCGGCCGGCACCTGAAAGCCCCATATGTGGCCTCATGCGACCACCTTGTTGTCCTGCTGCTTCGAGGCCATATCTGGGTCAAGCCGCTGAAGAGGCATGCGTGGTGCGCTGTCAATTTCCAGTACGTAGTTTCTTCAGCTGTGCAGCGGAAGTGAAGCATTTTCCGACATTGGGGAAGCATGGGAGTTGGAGCTCGGGTGCTATCGACGCAAATAGACTTCAGTGTCGTGGAAAAGCCTGTGGGGTTAGGGAAACTCCTTCTCAGCTGCACTCTGCCACCGAAGGCACCTGAGGGAGACGAGCTCGAGGAAGGAGAGGAGGCTCAAGTCGAAACCCAGGACTGAAGGCTGTGCTGTAACGCGCTGTAGGATACGATATGATACGATAGACATAGTACTGTAGAAGAATCGATATTCCACACACTGCCAGCAGGACTTTGGAGATGGACTTCTCGTGACAATGGCGGCCAGCCTCTCAGCGAAAGCGGGGGCGATTCCCGCTAGACAAATCGGGAATCAAGCGCATCACGCTGCAAACGGACTTCGCAGTGGCATCACCAAGGCCATCGCAACCGAGCTGTCTGATTTCGTGGAGACCATGCTATCTGCTCAGTCCACCTCTGTCAGCTTGGGCTTCAGCACGCAATCGACGCTGCAGAGGCAATTGCCGATTCGAGCCTCAGCTGCTGAGGAGGACTCGGGGCATTGGTTGACGAAGCTTTCTTGGATTCTTAAATTATTCCCAATATTTCCCAATCCTTCGCTTGTCGCCAGGAAGCGGCAAGAGCAGAGCTGGAAGAGCTTGGAAAGCCAGCTGTGGACGAGGATGGCAAAGCTCGGGCCCCAACGTTCTGCTCAAAACGGTATTGTCCTGAGCACAGCAGTTCTAAGGAAACCATCCCGGCCCCACTGCTCATAGTTCTTGGCGGCGGTTCCAGCACGGAGAATCAAGAGGATCCTCGCAGGCCTCAAAGTGCTTTGAGCACGTGATCCGACAGCACAGGAGGTCCTCCTGAAAAAGCTGGAGCTGCTTATAGGGCTCTCACGCTTCGCGGAGCATGAGAAGGTTGGTGGAAAGGGTGTTGATCAGCAACTGTTGATCTGATGTGTGGGAAGGGTGGCGTGCACGTCTACATCGGTGGCGCCCTTGCGAGCTACGTGCTGTCAGGTGGAGCAAGAAGTGTGGAAGTGCTCGTCAATGTGTGTAATGCGCAATGCAGCGTCGCAGTCACTTCTGCGAGGTGTCCTTGGCATGTCGATGGGCCCCAGCTCCGTTGATGATGGTGCGATCAAAGCGTCGCTCAAGGAGGCATCGGCATGGCACTGCCTCTCGCCGCGAAGCGCATGCTGCCTGCAAGCAATGCAGGCTCTTTTGGAAGTGATGAGGTCTCCGTTGTCGCCAGATTTTGCTTTATGTGAAATGGCGTCGTGCTCTTGCCAGGTTGGGAATTTCGCCTGACCCTGAGCAAGTCGCTACAGCAAATGAACTCGTCACATGATACGTGGCTCCAGATACCTTTCTTCCGGCGCGTTCCATTAGTTGAACGTTTGGCGAGTGGTTGATTTGTGCTCTTGTGCTTTTGCGGCGGGTTGCACCGCGAAGATTTCACAATGACAGTTTTCTCCGGCAATCGTTCTCACTTCGCGGAATCCGTGTGTGATGTGTGGCTGTATTCCGTTGCTGCACTCACGTCGCAAGCTGCAAAACGGTCAAAACTGCCGCACCTCATCCTGTTATGCTGAGGATTTCGTTGCCCCTTGATCTCGTGTGCGAGGAGGTCGCCCACGAGGCGCCCTCGGATGGCACAGAGTTGGGCAGGCTCGATGTCTTGTCACGAGGCCAAAGATGGAGAGGATCCCGGCGAGGCTCAGGACCGGCCCTGAATTTATGCGGTTCCTGCGACTGAAACGGTATCCAAGGATGCCGGCACGGGACACGCCGCATCGCTTGCGGTCTGCTTCCTATTTCCTGTCTCGGTCATTTGCCGCTGCAGGTTTTGGTGCTTCGTATCAGTCTTGGGTTGAGTCAGGCTGCATGGCGACAAGTCGCCAGCACGCCGCTTTTCCTTGGATATTCTGATTGTCGCGGGCCCCCTAGCCGCTCTTTGCAGAAGCAGTGTGCGATACGGCAGGTCGATCTGAGTCATCTATGGTAGAGGGGCAGAAAATAGTTCAAGTCGGAAGTGCTCTCCTGCAGCGTTGCTGGCACAGGGGCTAAGGAAATGCCCACCCAACTTTTTGATGCCTGGCCTCCCTCGGCTTGAAATTCCGGTGCGGGTACAGACGTCTTCGCTGGCCGATGGCCAGTATTCTCCGCGGGCGATTCCTCCGTTGGCGCTTAGTCCACTGAGCCCTTTGGAGAAGCGCTTGCAACCCAAGCGGAGCTTGCTGCAGCAACGGAAGCAGCGCCTTGGCAACTTGCAGCTGGACACCTCTGCTGGTAACGTGGCCTTGAAGCATGATGGACTGAAGGCGAGGTACATTGTCCACGAGTCTTTGGGCCAAGGATCTATGGGCACCGTTTACCGTGGGACTCGAAGGTCCGACCAAAGAGAGGTTGCCTTGAAAGCCATGCAGGCGCTCGATGAGGAGATGACGGAACTGCTAAAGCAAGAATTCAAAATTCTGCGAAAGCTCTCCCATCCTCACGTAATCGAGGCTTTGGATTTCTTCGTAGCTGACGATCAGGCAGTGCTGGTCTTAGAGCTTTTTGAAGGCTTGCCGCTATCAACTGCTGCCAGATCGACGCCCTGCGCGCTTCCGGAGTGTGTCGGGCAGCGCCTATTTAAGCAGCTGACTCTGGCCATTGATTACCTGCACCACCGTAAAATTATTCATCGAGACATCAAGGGCGAAAATGTACTGGTGAGCCATAACTTGATGGATCTTCGGCTTATTGACTTCAACAGTGCTAGGTGTCTGCTGGAAGGAGGTTCCCTGACGAATGCTGGCACGCAGGAATATGCATCGCCGGAAGTTTGTAGGGGTGAACCACATTCTGCGAGCAGCGATATCTGGTGCGCCGGTCTTTGCCTTTATCTCATGCTGGCAGGGCATCTTCCCCGCAGGGGACACCAGTACAAGAGTTTCGAGGCCTTCAAACAAGCCGTTTCAACGGAAGCTGTGGTGCTGAAGGGCCGCATCGAGAGTTGCTCCGAAGTGTGCAAAGACGTGATACGGTTGTGTCTGTACCTGGACATGACAAAGAGACCTTCGGCTGAAGCCCTTCTGCAACATGAATGGCTACTTCCGCGAGGAGGCAAACGACACACAGTTCAGTCCAGACTACCCGTGGTCTTCCGGGGCGAGGCGTGGAACGAAGACATGCCCGCGTCCCCAGTCTCGCGCACGAGACGGAGAATGACGAAGTAGCCAAGAGAGTCAACTTCAGTTCAATAGTCCGGAAGCAAAGTAGCTGTTGAATAAGTCCTTCAGAGCTTTTCAAGTTCTGCTTAGATGCGAGGGTGCGCTTGCATAGTACTGCAGACCTGCTCCTGCCAGAGCAGATGTCTTTACGAGAAGGTTCGTCTTCGTTTTGGATCTTGCCCAGGAAAACTGTTACGGATCTCCTTTTGCGTGTTTACTCGGCAGAGCTTGAGCAGACACTCATGTCAGGCAAAACTGTTTCACATTGATAGCTACCTCCCGACATGAACTTTTAGTCTTTACCTCATGTAACGGGAGCCATGTATCACATGCTGGCACTGCCCTGTCAAGGCATTGCCAGTTTGTGATGGTTGCGGAATTACTGCATGTTCGCACGGGATTGGTGGCATCAAGCAAACACGTCGATTTTAGGAGCGGCACGGTAGAAGATGCAGGAGCTGCTGCCTTGACAAGTGAAGCCGCAGACACGGAGCCCAGGTGAGTGTTACATCTCAGTGGACACGCAGCACGGCACCCTTCATCTTCAAAAGTGCGAGTTGGTGCCTCAAATACTCTCAGGTTCAGCTTTGCTTTGTACTGCTTGGCTCGTGCGGGTGTGGCTTCTCTGCACGCGCACCTGGTCAGGCCAGGACAGCCTCCACATGTTGAAGGTGTCGAAGGCGCCGCTTGCAATGCGATATCTGATACACGATATGCTAGTGGTTCTACTGGCTACGGGACCCGACCTAAAGCCCTTATACGATATGGGAATTTGTGTTTATGTCTCTGATATTGTTCCATCCATATGTCTGTATGACGGAGCGGATGCATGCGTAAGTGCACATGGATGTTTGCCTGTATGTACGTATCATTACGTGTGTATGTCTGTTTGTATGCATGGCTGTCTCTGTACATATGTATGTATGCATGA